TAAATATAATAGCACCTATTCTATTTACATAAAACAGTCGACCAACAACACTACAATAAAAATTCACTCAATAAATATAATAAATAATATACATGAAATATGATTCTTTCAAACCTTATTGGCACCTAAAAATTACAATATACGTTATCATGTGAACCAAAATTTATCAAGTTTTATATACCATGATGTGTTCAAAAAAATGCATGCTATTTAAATAAAAAAAAATTGCATACAAAATCATTTATTTTAAGAAGAGCAAATTCACAACAATATTCAATTAAATTCTATTATAATAATATCAAGTAATATATTTTAATCATAAATTTATTTAATAAATAATCATATACATAATAATATTTTTTAATGGATATACGCCTATGTATATATAGTATAATATAAAAGTTAAACAATCATTCCAATATTATCTCAAGTACATTCGAATCTCCACAACAACAGATATATGTATATTTACTACGAACAACCATATCTACATCAATTCCCTCAGCACATAATTCAAACAAGTCCAATATAAGAAAATATTTAAAATATTATTAAAGTTAATGACTATTTTTGTTCTTATTATTTTAAATAGTATGAACAAAAAATAAAAATAAAACAGCATTATTTTCATTCATGTTTAATATATAATCAATAAAGTTACTGAATAAACTTGTATATCATATCATTTCAATTGCTTTCAATATAGACTTAATTTATATTTAAAAAGAAAATTAAATAGATTTATCATTTCATTAATTTATTCAATTTTCAAATATTGAAAATAACGAAGTCCTGCACCCTTTAAAAATTTGTCTCTAGTAATCTGATTTTTTTCTAATTTATCCCATAAACGAGATAATGATTCTTCGGCTATGCAAGTTTTTTTTCGTCTTTTTGGTGGAGGTGCTCCTGCTTCATGTCTTTGTCTTTCATCTGATGCTAACAATTGTTCATGTTTGAACATATCAATACAGATGTAAATATCATTATGAGGTTTCGTTGATCTTTTTTTCCATCGATTATGACGTCCTTCAAGATAATTAATTGTACGAGGATTAAGATTTCGATAGTGATTATACATAGTTGGTGGAAATCTACTATTAATACCATATGTTTTATCATGATAATCTAAAAATGAATTGATTTCATTTTCATATAACAATGGTTTCGTTGAACGTAGATAATGATTTCCTTCGTCCATATCAGTTTCTGGTAATAGTGCAATTGCAGCAAAACTCCTGAACCATACACGTAGAGATTCATCATCTTGGTATGCTGTTTTTAAATTTAAATTCATGAACTTTCGAAAAAGTGCTTTTCCATAATGGAAAAGACATCCTTTTACCTATATAGATATTAAAGAAAAAAGTATTAAAATATTCTAAAACTGTAAAATTTTCCTTTTTCGTTTATTTTTTTATTATTAATTACATTTTAAAAAGTCGTGTTTGATTCATAATCTGGTCTCCGATTGCGATTTTCTTAAAATATAGGAATCCTTAGAGGATCAAGTTTGTCTAAAATATAGGATTTCCGATAAAAAATGACAAAAATATAGGATTTTTTATAAATCGTTTCTGTTCATTTATTTTGATGTTTTTTTAATTTCTCTGCTCGAATAAAGGGTGTTCCATAAGTAAGGACCCTCTTTTTGTTTTCTTTCTATCCTTGTCGTAGTCAGTCGTAAATAGATATTCAGTATAGGATTCTTAAAGAGCGTCATCTAAGCTATCAATCAAAAAAAAATTGTATGAAATTTGCATGAACATTGATAGAGAACGACATTGATAAAAATTTTGAAAAAATTTTTAT